TTTAAAAGGAAAATGAGGGTCTGATCGAATACACGGAAGAACCCGGCTCGGGTATCAGGTGCATTAGAATGGGTCATCGGAAATTGAGAATAATCGAGAAGTATATGCACGGAGGAAAGGATTGGTCGAATTAACGAACCAAACGTGTTTTGGATGGAGACAGAATTGCTTAAATTGGCTCATATATAACTGAATTCGGTTCATAAGAACTCCATTTTCACGTTAATTTAACCTGTTCTTTCTCTCTTATTTGATAAATACTTGATGATTTGAAATGATTTCGACAATTAAAAAGTTATACACCTTTCATTGGTAATTCTTGATGTTTGATAATCAAGTCACCGAATTAATTTACCTACCTAATATAATCAAAGAAAGAGCACAGCTAACTAGCGACCCTAGTTATTCATGCTAATAATTTCAGCTGATAAAGTTGTACCTCGCAGAAAATACATTTTACCTCCAATAGCGAACTTTCAGAGACGACAGCAATGTTCAAACTCCACGGAAAAAACAATTCCGTTGATGTAACTGAATTTCCCGTTGCTAGGAGACCAAACGAAAATTCGATTGTAGGAACCGAAAGATTCCTGTAGAAAGTTTCTACTCAGTCAACTGTTCTCAGTTGTCTCGACTGAGTTTTAATGCAGCTGAACGTTCAAATGAATGTTCTTAATTGCAGTAACAGAGATCACTCCCTGTCGCTGAGTTTTTATTTCCCGTTACCGAGTTTTCATCTGGTTCCTGTTCTGTCGCAGGGAAAGAAATAATAACAGCAGCTGAATCTCATTGGCTATGCGAAAAAAGGACTCTGTTCTTACGTTAGAAATAACGACTCGGCCAACCAGCCTCTCACGTTTTTCGTTCTCTGCACACGTTCCCGGCTCGGTTCCGCCGAGTTTCGCTCTCTGCGCTTTCACGGAAAGACAGAATTCAACCCGCGTTCAAATCTCCCTCTCAATCACGTCGCCCTCGCGGGACATTCCGCTCGAGATGGCTGGGTCAAGCTGTGCATTTCCGTGTGTATATTTCGTGAGGGAAAGGGAAGAAGAGTTTGGCAACCGCATCCGGCCGAATCGTACCGTCGAATCGCTACAGCGCGAGCAAGATGCGGTTTCCGGCGGCGTTACAAAGAAGCATCAAGAGCGCGGAGGGATCGAAGGACGACGACGGTGGACGAGGAGCGTCCAGTGCTAATCGCGATGCACGTCCCTCGACTTCTTTTGCTTTTATTGCTTGTAACGACTGTAACGTTTGGATGAAAACAAAAGAAATGCATGTTATTCAACGTAATGATATTTATTCTTTGAGAAAGCAATCTAGTTTGTCGAATCAAACATTCGTTTGTTTGTTCATCGCACTCCAAGCAACAAGGACAAATTTGTTACAATTCGAGGAATTCGATTAAATTCACAGAGATCTTTTACTACGTGTATTTCTCTATGCGTATTCGTGGACAGAATTTCGGTACGAGTGCGGGAGGAAACTGTCGCGCCGCTCGTCCTTCCGCCATTTCTGCACTTTTCCATTACCGGTACCAGCGGCAATTGCTCCTGGGCGAAGCGCTCGGGCTGAGAATTGTGTGAAATAAAACGCGATAGTTCAGATCGTAGATGAGCGCGCGACGGTTTCAGCACCGAGATTGCCGTTCCCGACGGAGTCGTAAACGTACGTCGACGCACAATGATTGACGTAACGCAGCCGATGCGTTGGAACACGGCTTACGTTTACGTCAGTCGTTGCCCCGCTGAATTGCGAGCCCGACTTACCTTTACGGCTCTGCCGGGAATGGTTATGATGATTTTTGCGCTCAGATAAGTCGAACTGTAATCGTGAGAAACGTCGGGCGGCGAATTGCGCGAAGGCGGTCATCTTATGTTTGCTGGCCGACATCACATTTAGATATAGACGGAAAAAAATTTGCGTCAATTTAAAATTCTCGTAAATAAGAGGAAATATATAATCTTGCGTAAAGATAAAACTTACTCTTACAAAATGTAAAAATATATCCTCGTTATTCAAGAATAATTCTCATGAATTGAGGGAGAAAAATTTTTGATGAAGGGGCGATATATCTTCAAACTGATACAAATTCTTAGTCTGAAGATATCGTTTTTTTTTTCTGTCCAATATTTTTTTTCCTTTTAATACATGAAAATTATTTTTGAATAACACAAATATATTTTTAGTGAAACTGTATTGAATTTCTTCATATGGTATCTTATATAAAGATAAAATTTACATGAAGAAATTCAATATAGTTTCACTCATTTATGCGCGTTTTATTATCACCGATATTATAGTAAATGTTACTAGGAAAATGGTTTTGCCGACTATAATTCATTTATTATGATTATAGGAACGCATACCAAATATTTTTATTTCAATGTTAATTCGCCACGAGACTCGTATTCAGCGAATGGCCAACTCGTTGTTGGCATCGAGGCGGTTGCTTTTTAATCGTAAACACATCGACCGAAAACTATCCGTTGCGCCTATTTATTCGCGCGTCTCGAAAGCGGATTACGAGCTCGAAATTGGCGACTCCGATATGTCACATTGAAGCTCCTCAAGTAGATATGAGGGGTCGGGGGAGAAGTGCCCTCTCTTCTGACTATCGAGCGAGAGCGAGCGCCTCCTTGTCGATGATATAAGAATCTTGCATAATCCGCTTCAGCATTCTCTCGTCCCTTTGCGATTTCATCCCCGTACGATCGTCCATGATTTTCATGTTGACGATACGGGGAAAAGGTTGCTCGTAAATATAGGAGCGTTAGATCTCATGTTAGATTCCTAAGCTTAAAAAAAAATATGTTCAAGCAACGAACCTTTTACTTTCGATAGCGCAGAGTTCGTAAATACTCCGCGCGAATTCGTCGTCGTTTTCACAAAGAGGAAATCAGGTATGGATCAATGAAACAAATATGGGAAACCCGCTATTTAGATATTGCTAGCTGTTTCAGCCAGATAAGAAATATCTCCCTGTTGAAACGAACGTCTCGGCGAAGGAGCGAGAGAGGGTCGAGATTCCCGGAGAAAGAGACGAATGAGCCGAGAGGCGGGAGCTCTCTTCGCGAAACCGACTGAATTCGCGTTGATAAAAATTCTGTCAGGCCGATTAACGATCGCACGTGCCAGTTGGATCGGTGCCATTTGTATCGGGCATGCTATATCGAAAGTTGGTTCTCTAACGGCGCGTCCTAATGTCGTTAGACTCTCGCCAATCATCTATTCCGGTCTTTTCCTTCGCGTATGAGATACACGGGCGGGAAAGCGAATGCGGAAAAATAGGGAACTTAAACGGAACGTCGTAGACGGAGAAAAATATTTGTGACTATAATCATTACAGTAAAGGGTATTATAGTCAGAAGAACCATTTTTCTTATTCTTCTTTTCTCTCTTATTATTATGAGATTTTTACGCATATCACATGTTTTTATATCATATACTGTTTCTTCTTGATTAATTGTTACTATAGTGTCAGTGATAATAACCTTATATGCATATTACTACTAGTATTTTATGGTTAAAACCATAAAAAAGGTATAGTTGGGGACGAAAATAACGATAACTTCTCCCAGTAACGACTAAATAACGGAGGAAACGTAGGTAAAAATTGTCTCCGTCGTTTGTCTTCCCCCGTATCGATCAGACGGTCGTGAAAAATACATAAAATCGGGAAGTGTCGAAGTGAATAATATATCATTAGTACTGAGGAAAAACATGGTAGAATTAACAAGATTTTGCTTAAACGGACATTATTTCCTCAAGGACAACATTTGGCCCACTACATTACTTGAACTCAATTCAAAACTAAAAATTGTCAAGATTGTAATATTCTTGCTTATACATGAGAATATCTATTCTTGATTTAAAACTAATTCTTTTTCTGTATATTTAGTTCTATATTAAGTCTTCACATGTTTTCCATCGTGTTACCTTTGATGCTACAAATAGGAAGTTATTTCCGTTCTTTCCACTTGAAAACTTAATGAGAAATTTAACATTTTCCCCGGGGGGTCTAAATTCCCTTCGTAGCATCAAAGAATTATTAATATTCCGTTGATACTGCAAATATGATGTTATTTTCATTTTCACCTGAGGGCTTAATGCAGCACTAAATGGACTTAATGCACAACTAAAATTTCAACTCGGGCACTTGACCATAATTCTTCCACTGTAATGATTATAATTACAAATACGAAATATTTTTTCTCTCAATGTGCAAGTCTATAAAGTCCCCGTGAAGTTATAGATTTACTAAAATATACCGTCGTATTATCGATATCGAAGAATAATCGCACCGTCACGCACGCGCGCGCGTTCGAAGTACCCGACAGTTTCCGTCGTATGTTCGTCGGAGCGTGTTGCAGAAATGAATGCTTCAGTCAAATTTATTTGTACATCGTTCCGCAAGCGTAGAGCTGCTTTAACAATTAGTACTCAGCGATCGTAAAAGTAGCCGTGGTGCCACATAAGTGACCACTCAACGGGTGGTCGTAAATATTACGACTGTGTCCCGAGGTATCTCGAGAGTGTCGAGTATCTTGGTCTCTTTAATTAGGTTGACCAACGCTGCGGATTTTCGCGCGACGGTGACTTTTCCTTTATTCGCGGTGAATGTCGCAAGGAGAAACCCAATTCCGCCGCCGAGTGTTTATTAATTCCCCGACATTTACGAAGGACAGTTCCGAAGCACGTGTGTACTAATTACGAAGGTACATTCGCCGACGTGTCGTTTGCATTATCCGCGAGATGTGGGAACGGGAAAATTTCACGTCGAACGAGAAGGCATATCAATTATATTCGTGGATAGATAATTAAATCTTGTCCCGTTCGCAAGAAAGAAGTTCCAGGGTGAACGCTACGAGAGAAAGAAACTTCAGGTCGGACTTTCTCGACGGTGCCGTTATAATTTCTCTCATTTTCGTTCTATTAACTTCGCGTCCGGACAAAATGCCAGCTAATTAATTACACGGTGTTTTTTCTCATACTTTCAGGCGATGGAGGCGGCGCCGGCGGAGATGGCGAACCTATCGTCGGCGGTACCAATTCCGAGAAGAAGTCAGGATATGAGACCAATCTATATCTCTACAGTGTAAGTAGGCGGAAAGTTTCAGCAAACTACCGAGAGTACTTGGAGAACCGCGATATACGGTGAACGAAGGCAGCCACGGGCTGAGAATTGTCGCGGTGGAGAAAAGGGAGGAAGGGGAAATTATATGAGGCGGAATTGCGCGCAAAAATCGGATCTCGCCTTCGTGAGATCTCGCGAGGTCACGCCGGTTTGATTGCTGCGCGAAAACCGCGAAAGGGGAGGCGTAACCCGTAAAATAGAGTCGTATTTTCCGCGATATCCCGCGCGAATCATAAAACTTGCAGGGAAGAAACGATAACCGCGGGCTAAGAATGCTCTTCCTTACCTTTACCTCACCTTTGCCTTCGGAACGTTCGAGCGGCTCTCTACTCTCTTTCTCTCTCGTCCTCGTTCCTCCTTGGCGTTTTAACGAAGGACTCCACCATTCTCCCCGGCCGTATAAGAGAGAGAGAGAGAGAAACCCGCGCGAGAACTTCCGCTCCGGCCCAGTTTCCTTATCTGCCGTCCCCGGCTCCGTTCAAAACTGCGAGCCATTATCGAGCCACGAATCTCGCGAGTATTGTGCCGCGTTCCGCCGTCGAATTATCGAATCCGATAATTCGCCCCGCGACGAGGGCGACTTTAACCCCGTATAAGCTTCGCCGTATTTTTCGTTCGAGTGTGACTAGGTGATCCCCACGCGTACACCATGCGTCGACTTCCTTATTGAGGATCATTTTCAAAGTTCATCGTCAGATGATGAAGATAATTCGAATCTTTTAAAACTGATGTGTGAGAAAACGTGGACTGTTGCTGTTAAGGCCACGCGCGAAAAATCATATTGTGGTAGCTTTCCTCTCGGATAAAAGATTGAAAGAACACGCGTTTAAACAGTCAGTCGCTATTATATGCATCAGCCGACAATCAGCAATTCTTTAGAATCTATCTGTTGAGAAGGGAGTACATTTTACTATCTTGCAGCTCGCAGGAACAATTTCGGAACGTAGAGTCTACTATTGTCGACAGTACTATCAGCACAGTCAGCACATTTTTGAATGCAGCTCTAGTCTACAATAGCTACGTTCAGCAGAAATAGAAGCTCAGTGAGCGCTTAATGATTATTGTCTGCGACTGGAGTGGTCATTTAGATTTCTCGATAGATGTACGGTAACAATGAGTAATAATTGTTAAGCGCTCACCGAACTGTTCTCTGCTGAACGCAGGCAATGTCGATTCGTGCAGTTCGGTGTACGACTTTTCGATTACGCGTTTACATATATGCGTGAGATCGAAAGTCACAGTGAATCCTACCAGCTGAATGTTGAAGCACGCACCGGGGAAAAAAAGCGGTTTAATTCACCGAATCGGCGGTCATTTGGAAAAAAATATCCTGTCCATTGAACGAATTACGCATTGGCGCAATAATAACAAAAATTAAAGTCGCAAGGTCAAACGATAAACGGCTGTACAAGAATATATCATTCCAAATCTTTCCAAATATTGTATTTATTCGTGCTAATTTAATTTGTAAAAAGCAGAAATTCAATTTGTTCTCCCCACGTTGATTCAATCAATCCCTTTTTCTCCGTGACTGGTAATTATTCGCGAGAGTACGCGATGCACGCGCAATGAGGCGTTTCGGAGCATCGAAGCGCACGTAAAAGACGAAGATAAGAGACACCGAAGAAATTAGGAAGGCACACCGGGCGAGAGCTAGATTAGGAGATAGGGCGGGGTAAGGCGCGTTCCAATTTCCCGAAGGAAATCGCCGTGGATCGACGGATCGGATCTTCGGCTCACGTTCTCTCGACACCTTTTACGGCCGCCTACGGCGGATGCAAATAAATCCGGTCGTGTGTGTGTGTGTTTCTCTTTAACGCGATCAGCGCATACATCGTATCGCGGGCGAGAAGTAGTCGTCGCGAAATTAGGCAGCGCCGGTAATATCTTTGTAACGAGGTTGCGACGAGAACTCGCCCGACAAAGAGCCCAACAATTTCCATGAAGCGTCCCCGCGCCAAGTTATGCGCGACGCTTTTCCGCGAAAGTTTGTCAATAAAATTGCAAATGAGGTCACGGGGGGCGCGCGTCCCCTCCAGGGTAATAAGGTTACACCGTGTATGGGGAATATTATTAGGGCCGGCAATCTTCGCCCGTTAGTGCCAATGTGAGCACATGCCAGTGATGGAGATCGAGGACTGATCGGACGAAGGCGCCGCGATCGTGCCCAGCTGTCCCGGATTTTCGCGCGAGTCGCGAATACTTAAAAACGGGGAGAATATTACAGCATTCTTTCATATAAAATTTTCCCCCATCTTACCGTACTTTCGAATAACGTAGAAACAGATCGCCGGTAGAATTAATCTTGCCGAGGAACGTATAGTAAATTTTAGGAAGAAATATTACAAGAGAGTATATTTCTTACAAGCAGAATTCACGGTCGCGAGATGTTAGGCGCTTTTCTCTCAGCGTACACGGCGCATAAGCCGAGCGCGGGAATGATTCTCGAGGATCGGCACTCGAATTCGTTGAAATATTAGGGAAACTACGTTGTTCGGTGTGCGAAAACGCCCGTCGATTGCACACACGCGCGCATACAGAACGATAGAGAGGAGAGAGATGAAGTCGGATATAAATCCTCGTAGGAGGAGATGGAGGACCGGCCGCGGATCTCGACGTTGCTCAACAGCCTGGCTAACTACAGCAACACCATCCCCGCTGCGACCGACCCGGATAGTAAACCGGCCCCGGCCGCAGGGGGTGGGGCGCGAATGGGTACTCTCATAGGTGTCTACTTGCCGTGTATCCAGAACATCTTCGGTGTGATCCTCTTTATCCGGTTGACATGGGTAGTCGGCACCGCCGGCGCCGTGCAGGGCTTCTTCATCGTGCTTTGCTGCTGCTGCGTCGTGAGTATTCGTCTGCGTTGTCCCCGACCGGGCCGAGATTACAACGACGCGTGTTAAATCTGAAAGACATCCAAGTCGAGGTTGAAAAATACGGAAACTCAACGCACGCTGCGGGCACAGCTGTAATATTTTACTCGAAACTAGGACATACGATTAACGAATGCGCACCGTTAATGTTCTTACGATAATCTTCATTAAAATATTATCCCCGTGGGAAGGATATTTCAACGCAACGATTCATAGACGTATCGTGTCTCATTCCCTTAACTCTAGAATGTTAACTCCTTTACTCCGGGCATTAATTTCTCTCTTAATCATTTCCTCACTATTTTCCTCTCTCGATTCAAGAAATTATTCTGGAATAATAAGAACACGATATTTTCATTGAAGCTATATAGAATTTTTCCATGTAAGGCGAGTTTTATCTTCATGCGAGATTACATATTATTTCTTCTATGTAAGGTAATATAATTCTTGAGTCGATACTAATGTTCCTCTCGTGTGGATGCGCGTCTCCGGTTCGCGATATGTCGAGAACGCGGGCGAATTTTAACGACGGATTCAAGCTCGAGATTTGCAGCGGCACCTTGAAATTCTTCCGTTGTGCGCGCAGACGATGTTAACGGCGATCAGCATGAGCGCCATCGCCACGAACGGCGTGGTGCCGGCCGGTGGTTCCTACTTCATGATATCGAGAAGCTTGGGCCCGGAATTCGGCGGCGCGGTAGGTATGCTGTTTTACACCGGCACCACTTTAGCCGCCGCGATGTACATCATCGGCGCCGTGGAGATTGTTCTCGTAAGTATCGCCTTGCACACGTTGTTCATTCAGCCCGTGAATTATCCCATTAAGGTGGTTGGTTCTTGACTATAATGTTAGGAAGATTAATACGACACGAAGAAGCTCGAAGAATGTGTGATTAATGTTTATAAACATTACTCGTGATATACGGCTTTAACATTATAGCAAGAAAATCTCAATCAAGCTTACGTAATGTTGAAAGATTCAATACTAAAGCCCGTGTCATACGACGAATGAAGATTGAGATTGAATTGCGATTTGGTCGACTAAATAAAAAGAAGATATCTGTTACGTCTTGCATCACTTCATCGTGATCACACAGTTGTGCAATGAGTTCCAGTTTGCGTAATAATAAGCGAGTGTCGGGGCAGGAAGGTGCTGCGGGGAGTTTTAACGGGAAGGAGGACAGTTTCTCACGCGATATTCTCTTCTTTCAGACTTATATGGCGCCGTCGCTCAGCATATTCGGCGACTTCACCAAAGACGCCAGCATTATGTACAACAACTTCCGGGTGTACGGCACCGGTCTGCTGATGGTAATGGGCACCATTGTCTTCGTGGGCGTAAAGTTCGTTAACAAGTTCGCTACGGTGGCACTGGCCTGCGTCATTCTCTCGATCGTCGCCGTTTACGTGGGCCTCTTCGTGAATTTCAACGGCAACGATGCTCTCAAGTACGTCGTTAGTCACGACCGGTCGAGTCGCCTACCATTTCGGTTGCCGCAGAAATCGAGTGAATACGAGAGGAACTCTCGGAACCCTTTCAGGATACGATTTTCGCGTTTCAGGCTGTGCGTGCTCGGCAGGAGACTGCTGAAGGACATCAACGTCTTGACCGACTGCAATAAGAACGTCGACGGTGCGTTGCACAAGATTTACTGCGGCAACAGCACCCAGCGCGCGAAATGCGACCAGTATTACAACGAGAACAACATCACCATCGTCAACGGTATTCGCGGCTTGGCCAGCGGCGTGTTTCTAGGTACGTGTTGCGTGAAATCGGCACACACGATGCCTCCCCTCCCCCTCCCCTGCCTACCTCGCACGAATACCGACGCGAGCGATGAGATATGGAAATGTTGAAATGCCTCCTGCTCTTGTCCAATACGTAGAGAACATATGGGACAGTTTCCAAGAGGAGGGTCAATTGATCGCTTACGGCAGCGTCCCGAAAGATATCGATGTCCTGTCGGGCTCGAGCTACAATCAGATTCAGGTGGACCTCACCACAACCTTCACCATCCTCATCGGTATATTCTTCCCCTCTGTGACGGGTGAGCGAAGTGAATCTCATTACTCTCCCCTCCCGAGAGGATAGTTCGATAAGAAAAAAAAAAAAAAGAGAAGAAAGAAACTCGCCGAGAGATCAAACGATCGACGGCGCTTATTAACGTATACTTCGCGTGATACGGCAATGCCGCAATGGCGAGAGCGGATGTGTAACTGGCGGGCCTGAAAAGCTAAGAGCTAAGCGGAGCTAACTAGCTGCAATGTATAATAGCACAGGCTGGATGAAATTTTCCAACTCGTTACTAGCTGATTATTCGGTAGATTGTAGGATCGATAGAGGGGTGCGCGTTAATTGGTCGGCAGTTGTAAGATGAAAGCATCAGCCATCGCTTATTTATTCAGCCATTATCTAACCACTAGGAGAAGCGAGCGAGTTACGTAACCGGCTGGCGGCGACGTTAGGCACGAATTGCGCCGCCTCGGTGGCCGGGCTCGATTTCTAGCAGGGATCCCCATTCGCAGGTATTATGGCGGGATCGAATCGATCCGGTGACCTGGCGGACGCTCAGAAGTCCATCCCGATCGGCACGATTTGCGCGATCCTGACGACCTCGACCGTCTACCTGTCCAGCGTGTTGTTATTCGCCGGCACCGTGGACAACCTGCTGCTGCGCGACAAGTTCGGCCAGAGTATCGGCGGCAAGCTCGTGGTGGCGAACATGGCCTGGCCGAATCAGTGGGTGATCCTGATCGGCTCGTTCCTCTCCACCCTGGGCGCCGGGCTGCAGTCCTTGACGGGAGCGCCGCGATTGCTGCAGGCGATCGCGAAGGACGGCATAATACCGTTCCTGACGCCGTTCGCCACCAGCTCGAGCCGGGGCGAGCCGACCCGCGCCCTCATGCTCACCGTCCTCATCTGCCAGTGCGGCATCTTGCTCGGCAACGTGGACTACTTGGCTCCGTTGCTCTCGATGTTTTTCCTCATGTGCTACGGCTTCGTGAACCTGGCCTGCGCCCTGCAGACTCTGCTGCGCACGCCCAACTGGCGGCCACGCTTCAAGTACTACCACTGGAGCCTGTCGGTCCTCGGTCTGTCGCTCTGCATCGCCGTGATGTTCATGACCAGCTGGTACTACGCGCTGTTGGCGATGGGCATGGCCGGCTGTATCTACAAGTACATCGAGTACCGCGGCGCCGAGAAGGAATGGGGCGACGGTATACGCGGTCTCGCGCTCTCCGCCGCCCGTTACTCCCTGCTGCGGCTCGAGGAAGGGCCACCGCACACGAAGAACTGGCGGCCGCAGATCCTGATCCTGTCCAAGCTGACGGACGACCTCGTACCGAAATATCGCAAGCTCTTCGCGTTCGCCAGCCAACTCAAGGCCGGCAAGGGCCTCACCATCAGCGTCAGCTGCATTGCCGGCGACTACACGCAGAACTCGGGCGAGGCTTTAGCGGCGAAACAGAGCCTCAGGAAGACCGTGGTGGAGGAGAAGGTGAAGGGTTTCGTCGACGTGCTCGTGGCCAAGAACGTTATCGACGGACTCAGTTCGCTCATACAGACCACCGGGCTGGGCGGGCTGAAACCTAACACGGTGATATTAGGCTGGCCCTACGGCTGGCGGCAGTCCGAGCAGGAGAGGACCTGGCGGGTCTTCCTGCAGACCGTCAGGAGCGTCGCCGCCGCCAAGATGGCGTTGCTGGTGCCCAAAGGGATTAACTTCTTCCCGGACTCCACGGAGAAAGTGGTCGGCAACATCGACGTATGGTGGATCGTTCACGACGGCGGTCTTCTGATGCTGCTCCCGTTCCTGCTGAAGCAGCATCGCACCTGGAAGAACTGCAAGATGAGGATCTTCACGGTCGCGCAGATGGAGGACAACTCGATACAGATGAAGAAGGACTTGAAGAAGTTCCTGTACGACCTGAGGATCGAGGCGGAGGTCGAAATCGTCGAAATGGTAATTCACTTTGTAATACGGCGAGTCGAACCAGAAGAGGGGGGAGCTGAATCCTCCGAGAATTGCGTTATGTTTTCGATATTCTTCATCTTGATCGTGCGATCAGCGAATTTTAATTCCGGTGCTCGGTCTGTTGGCAGATGAACTCCGACATCTCCGCGTACACGTACGAACGCACTCTCATCATGGAGCAGAGGAACCAGATGCTGCGCGAGCTGCAACTGAACAAGAAGCAGTCGTTAGGAGTGGTGAGTGTCGAATGAATGGTACGATGT